CAAAGGCCGGAAGTCCACACTGTTCCAAAACTCAAGATGTTTTGATGCCACAGGTGGAAAATTCCACGTCTGACCCAGACAAGTATAAAATGACCTTTTGCTGTGTGAAGATGTGTATGAAACATAAGTGAATTTGGTATTTAGGCTTGAGTCCCATCCCTGGGCTATCAGTGTGTATGTGTATTTAGATGTCCCCCCAAGGCATCATACCGATGAGGTGGGACTTGCTTGTGTGTGGTGTGTGTGTGTGTGTGTGTGTGTGTGTGTGTGGTACCGGGGATCGAACTCGGCACCTTGCACTTGCAAAACAGCCTGCGGAACCACTGAACTAAATCTCCAGCCTCTCAATACACATATAAATGTTCCGAAATCCGAAACACCGCTGGTCCCAAGCATTTCGGACAAGAGATACCCAGCCTGCATCTCCATTTTACAAATGAGGAAGCTGAGACTCCAAGCTCTGAAAGACCTGACGGACCTCCATTAGTGCAGCGGCATAACCAGGATTTGAATCCAAATTTCTCTTCTGCCAGAGGCTAAGCCCTGGGCTCCAACCCCAGCTCTGAAGGGAGGGAGAGGAGGTAAGGGAAGAGACACGTTACTCTGAATCCAGGAATTCTAAGATTCACAACAGCCTATGCATAGTCTTAGAACCACAATCCTCAATTCTGAGACTTTAGAAACATTTAACTGGCTCTCAGGTTGGTGCCCGGGTGGCTTCTCGGGCCCTAGTGTCACTCTGGCTCTTTGCCCCCAGAGATCAGCCCCCCGCCCCGAGCTCTGTCGCACATCAGCCAAGAGGCCGGGGAACCCTGAGCCTCCTTTGAGTGTGGGCTGTGCCTGCTACATAGACGCTGCTCTCCATTGGCAGGTGGCAGGTGCTTGGGGGTGGGGGCCGAGCCTCCGAATCAAAACGAGGCTGGGGCGGAGGCTAAGGCAGGGTTGGCTGTCAGGACCAATCATTCCTTATCCACTGAAGGCTGCTGTCTGCCCCAGATGAGTAGCCGAAGAGCTGAGAACTATAGTCAAATGCTCCTCTGGGTTTGGTCAGCAGAGTGAGCACTCTTCCTTTGCTTTTCCCAGTGTTCAGAGATCCCCAGCCATAGCTGCCAGGAAGAACTTGCGCCAGGAGGTGAGAACAGCAGGGAAAGACACACACACACACACACACACACACACACACAGACACACACACAGACACACACACACACACACACCTTGCATTTATTCCCAGCGTGAAGGTTTCATACTATGGGGTCTGCTGTCTTTCACTCATTCCACACACAGACTAATTGAGCACCACATGCATGTCGTGCGGTGGTGAATCCAAAGACAATAATCCCAGCCCTGCAGAGCTTGACATTCAGCAATAAGGCTTTAAAAAGGAAAATTAGGCGGCAATCAGATAGTGACCCATGCGATGGAGAAAAGTAAAACAGAGAAGGGACCAGGGCATTGGGTAAGGCAGGGAGGTTGCCTCCAACTGTCCTTGTAGGGGACAGCAGAGCTGGGAGGGGAAGGAGGGAAGCACATGACTATCCAGGGGCTGAGCTCTTAGCAGGAGGGAACAGGAGGGCGGAGGCCTGGTGCATTCTGGGGAGACCTCGTGCATTCTGGGGCAACAAACCTAGCGGTAGAGCAGAGCAAATGAGGGGAAGAGCCACAAAGTCACACAGAGCTTCTGGGGCCATCACCATGACCTTAACTGGACTCCATGAGAGGATGCAAGCACAGAGGTGCCATGGTGTAACTTACTTACCACAAGATCTGCCCACCCTAAGTGATTGCTAGTAAACATCCTGAGTCGTGCAGCCCTCACCACCACCCCAGGAAAACACCTCATGTCCGTGACTTACACTGTGAATGGATGGCTCTGGATCCTGTGTAAAAGAACAAAATGAGATGGTAAAAGCAAGCTAGGCGTGGTGGTGCACATCTGTAATCCCAGCGCACTGGGAGGCTGAGGCAGGAGGCTCTAAACTTGAAGCCCAGTCTGAGCACTTTAGTGAGGAACTGTCTCAAAATAGAAAATTAAAAGAGGGCTCCAAAGGCTCTGGGCTTAATGTCAAGCGCTGCAGGAAAGAGAGCGAGCGAGATGACAGGTAAGGGGAGAGAAACAGAGACAGAGAGGAAAATTTCGGAAAAATGTTTCACCACGCATACGAATGACAGCAAGTTCTCAGAGTGCAGGAGTAGAGACGGGACTGGTAATCCTTTCTTTTTCTTTTTTTTTTTTTTAACTCCCAGAGGTTTGACGCCTCCTTAATGCTAAAGTTATAACAGGATGAAAGCCTGCTGGTAAAAGCAGATGTTAATTAAGAGCCAGAGAACTGTTTAAAAATGGGAAATCCAGGCAGAGGATGCACATGTCTCTCACTCCTCAACTTGAAGATGAGCCTCACCCTCTTCTGCATGAAAATCTGAATATTCCCAAAGCTGTTGGGCGAGGTTAATAGCTTAAAAATTCACAAGAGGCAAAGCTGATGGCAGCAGCAGGGACAAATCCAAACAGGTCTTGGCAAACGCTGTGGCCCCTAGAGCAGCAGAAAGGCGTCTGGCTCTTCTCGGTCAGGAGCGTGATCCAGAGATCACGTGGGACTCTGAAAGCCGCCCCGGGGAGGGCTTTCCGTATATTGTCTAGAAGGCTGAACTCTTTGATATTATAAGGTTTGGGACCAAGAAGTGGATTCAGCATGTTTTTTCCCTCCCAGCAGCTTCTATAGTCCATGTCTTCCTTGCCCAAGGCAGGTTTCCCGGGCGGGGCCCTGTTCCTGAGAGCTGTAGGAGTCCTGCTCTGACCTCCTATGCGCAGTTCCCTCTGGCATGGGTCCTGCCGGCTTCGACTAAGCTCACATCTGTGCCTCGCTGAGAGCCTGCCACGCAGCAAAGCGGCACCCGCCAGCTTCAGAGAAGGGAAAATGCATCTTCGGCTCACCACCCACCGCTGGCTCAGTTTGCCTGCTCTCTGAACGTTTTTATGAGGGTCCACTGCAAGGCTCAGTTCAAGGTCACGCGTCTTTGTTCTGCTTTGCTCTTCCTAGTCGCTTTCTGTCCATCTGAAAAGCTGCTCAAGAATTCTCCTGTTACCACTGCTGACCACAAGGAGGCCCAGGCCTCCTGCAGTAGCACCAGAGCCGAAAAGCAGCTCTCCAGGGACCCAGATTCTACCCTGCAAAGAGCACACCCTGAGCCCCAGAGAGAGCTGCTGGCCCAGTGATCTCCCAGGATCCACCCCATTTGGCACTGTGAGCACCCACAATCTACATGTGAGCCCTGTTCTTGTGGTTACTGCAACAGCAGAGAGACTGGCCCCGACTGCCCAGCAGCTCTTCATGTAGCCTGGGTTGCGATCTCAGCTTGCGTCTTCGCTGTGCGACCTGGGCCGAGCGCCATCCCCCCTCTGAGTCCGGTTCCTGCTCTGCGGAAAGAAGTGGCTACAGTGAAATCTCCTTGATCTCTCAGGGCCCTTTCAGTCCTGCCAGCAACACAACCACCTGAAACCCCTCGAAGGGAGCAGGCTCCGAGCACAAACTCTGAGGATTAAGCCCTCTGCTAGGGCACCATCTCCTTGCAGGAGTGAGGTCAGTTCTGTGCCGCGAACTCTTCTAACCTCAGCCAGGGAGCCATCGGAGCTTGGTTCTCTTGGGGTTCCCACACCTAGAACCCTTCATTCCAAAACTCCGGCCTGAAAGCTGAACAGGAAACAGCAACACTCTGGTCGGAAGCTGGGGCCCACAGAGAAGAAGCCACCCCATGTCACTCAGCAAAAGAGTGGGCAGAGCCTAGCAAAGCCGTCCCACTAGGGACACCTTCTCCAGGGACCTCCTGCATGTGCGTCTCTCCAGGATGCGCAGGAACTGGGCTTGCAAAGGAAGCACAGGGCAAGGCAAGGGCTTGCTGACTTCCGCTCTGTGCTCACTACGATGGGTTCTTCTCTGCCCTGTGACCTAATCCTTAGAGACCCACAGCCCCAGGATCTTTACCACTGTCCTCTTTTAAGAGAAGTTAAGTGATTTGGCTCAAGTGACAGAGCTCAGAAGCGAAAAGGCTGGTGTCAAAGTCCTTTCGAATGCTGGCTTTCCTGGTGGACAGCGGTTTACGGACGTGTCATTCCCTCATCCATCCCACCCCATGCGTGCAGCTGCAGTCCTAGACCTGCTCGCTGCTGTGAAAAGGCGGCTGGGGTGTCTGCCCTCACTTGCCTTGGTGTTAGAGGAGGAGAGCAGATAAACAGGTATTGTGTGAAGAGAAGAGAAAGCGGGGAGTAGTGCCAAGGTGAGGGGTGCATGCACCTTTTATCCGTCTGGAGCAGCCCTTCTCAGAGAGCGTTCTGCAGGCTGGTGACTTCCTGTCTGCTCAGACCCAGTGCTTCTGATTCTGGGCTTAGGGGACACACAGGTAGCAATTTGAGTGGCCCGGACCTAGAACGTGTCTGGGTCAGTAGAACAGTGTGCCACCCACCCCGTGCTGTTACCCCAACTCTCCTCACCCGCTTCCTCCTGCCCAGCTGCAGAGACACCCCCACCCCCATCCCCACCCCCACCAGGAGCCCATGGCAGAGGGAGACAGTGGCACCACTCGCCTGCCATGACACAGGGCCCCTCGGTGTCTCTGCAGGAGGACAGCCCATGTCCACGGACACGGCGGGTGTGAGCTTCACGGACAGTGGGGAGAGATCTGGTTCCAGTTCAGGCTGTGCCACTGGCTCCACGTGGGAGCTTGCAGATGCCCTGGGCATCTCTTAACCCTAATGATGCTTTGCAGGAATAGATCAGGTACAAGAGGGCTTGAGCCAGGGCCCAGACCCAGTAAGCAGAAGCCCCATAACTGCACATGTGTGTGTGTGTGTGTGTGTGTGTGTGTGTGTGTGTGTGAGAGAGAGAGAGAGAGAGAGAGAGAGAGAGAGAGAGACATTCCTCTCCCTCGCTGATGATGGAGAGTCTCTCCTAGGACACACTGCAGCCAGAAACACTGATGGCCTTTTCTGGGTCTCTCTCCAGATTGCCAAGGGATCATCGAGGACGTGGTGCTGCTGGGTGCGCCAGTGGAAGGAGACCCCAAGCACTGGGAGCCCTTCCGGAAGGTGGTATCTGGGAGGATCGTCAATGGCTACTCCAGGTCTGTCCACGCTTTGTGCCAATGAGGCACCGCCTCGTGTGCCCCGGCTGTGTGTTGGCAATGAGTCTCTGAGCCTATCCTAGAAGATCCCAGGAGCTGTCGGGCTCTGGTGTGTTAGGAGTGAGGCCAGGAGTGCATGTTCCGATGTGGCCAGTGTCCGGCCCCACAGGACATCTGACACCGGGGAAGACCCTGAAAAGGGTATCCCTGTGTCAGGCCTGAGGCCACTTGCAGGTTGATAGGAGAGGCTGGGGTAGCTCAGCACGACTGTGGCTGGGGCGATGGGGACGTGCAGGCATGGAGCCTGAGCCTGGAGAATAGAGACGATGCCCCAAATTTGAGGCCTCGGGGTGAGACGCTCAGCTCTGATGCTCCCTGCTGACAGCGGGGGAGGGGGAGGGGTGTGGGCTGAGCTTCCAGAGCACAGGGGCAGGGCCGCTGGACAAGAGGCTGCCTCCACAGGCAAGCCAGGACCCAGATGGCGGGACAGGCCCTCCAGCAAGAGAGAGAGACCTGAGAAGGCTGTTGCCCACGGGGCTGGAAAGAAAGCAGTTGCGAAGGATGACTTGAGGGGTCACCCGGGCTGTGACCCAGACAGTGGAGACAGAGGAAAGATGGCACCCACCCCAGAGGTCCCAGGAAATCAGCCTGAGAGGTGCACCCTCTACACGGCCTGTGGGTGAAGCCCAGAGCATGTGTTTGAGAGCACGTGACTCAGAGCCACACACTCCAGAATCCTATTGCTGGCCTCAGTTTCTCCCATCAGTGAAAGAGAGATCACAGCGAAGAGTCCTCTGAGGGGGCAAGTGACTGGACAATTTTCAGAGGTGCACGCAGCAGGTCGATAAATGATGGGCCGTAGTAGTGTTTATTATTATTTATTTTATCACCATCATCATCATCATCAGGCACTGGGAATATTCCATCCAGCAGATTCCTGATGAGCACCATTCTCACGCCAGACACCATGGGGACAGAACAGGCAAGGAGGCCCCACCCGGGCTCATGACACCTAGCGTCCAGCGGGGATGATAAGCAGCGGACTCAGGCCTCCCCAGACAGGCACACAAAAGCTTGTCAGTGACACCAAAGTCCAAGAGGCCTGCAGCCTTTTTCCCGAGCACAGCGCAAACTCATTTAGTGACGGACTCACACAGAACAGAGGAGAGACAACTATGGGCTGTCAGGCTGGGTGACCACAGGCCGCCACCCCAAGCCTCACAGGAGTATCCTGTGATACCCGGGCCACAGGCCAGCTGACTTTTGTAAAATCCAAAACATTATGACTTCGGAAGTAGAAGAGGTCCCCCAAGGAGCCCATGTTCTGGGGTCTTGGCCACAAAAGCACAGGCCACTATCACTCGGAGAAGGTGATGCCGGGGGTCAGTTTGGCTTTTAGGAAAGAGTAGGGTTGGGCGATTTGTTGCAGGGGGCGAAAAAGAATAAGGAAGTGAAGGGAATTCCAAAGGTTTTTTTAAGAAGCGGCTGGCTCAACTGATGCAACCTCAAAATTTACAATTAAAAAAAAAATCAGGAAAGACTGAATTAGGCCGTGGAGCCGGCAACAGCTGAAGCAGAGGGACAGAAAGGTGAGGTCCTTTGGTGGTCAAAGCACTGAATCCCCGCTTCTGAGGAATTTATTCCAGGATGGGAGAAGGAGGCCCCAGCCTGTACCCTCAAAGCATTCAGCAGGCCAGGCGCAGTGGTGCTCACCTGTAGACCCAGCTCAGCACTTGGGAGGCCGAGGCAGGAGGAGTGTTCGAGGCCAGTCTGGCCAACACAGCACTGAACAGCATAGCAAAAATAAAAAAAAAAAAAAAAAAAAAAAAAAAAAAAAAAAAATCCCACAACTGTGCCCAAGACCTCACGCCAGACATGAAAATACAAAGGTAAACAAGATGAGTTGCACCCATGGCTACCTATGGAAATGCAGGTTTAAAAAATGTTAAAAAACAAAACTAAAAATGTCATAAGGCAACAGTTAGGAGTGGGGGATTACAGTCCAACACCTGTCAGGCCTCATCTTTGTTGTAATTATCTCCTTCCCTCTTCCCCAAACCTTGTGGTGTTAGAATTATTAATCCCATTTCACGGATGAGGAAACTGAGGTTGACCCACCTGCCCAGGCTTAGGCCAGGATGAGACTATTTCTCCCAGGCCATTCTGATTGCTTTGGAAGAGACCAGCAGGCCTCTGAGAGTTCTGCTCCCCTCCAGGACAGGACTTCCATAGGACATCTGGGGGAGCGGGTCAGTGGTGGCCTGGGTTCAGGCCTCAGAACCAAAACAACCACAAAAACCAGAACTACTTTCCTTCCTCAGGCCCGTAGAGAGTGCATCTGATGTGCTAGGTGCTGGGGGCTGCTTTGATCGCCCTCAAACTAGAAAATCTCCTTTTCTTCCCTCTGTTCTCTTTGACATTGACCAGAAGAGACTAAAATCCCCACCCTTGCGGAGTTTACATTCAGGTTTTATTCATCGAGAATTTCCAACGCTGCCATCACACCACTGTCCATGATTGGATTACTACATTTTTAATGGTGCACTGTAAATTTTTCATCCCAAGGGTATTTTTCTTTTAGCTTCCTCCCTTATTAGTAACTAGCATTTGCTCAGAATAGGCCGGTTAACTCTGATTTACTCTCAGCCGTCCAAAGCTAACTAGAGTTGGATTGCAGAGCCTTTATGATTGGGATGATCTGACCTGCGGCAAAAGTCTAGCATCTGAGTAGCTCGAGTTTGTAACCCTGTATGCAGGGCATTAACCAGAACACAGAGAATCAGTTTGTCTCATCGCTCGTATCCTAAACTGAATCTCAAAATCAGGGTATGGTCAAGAGAACCAAGAAACAAAAGATACAGAGCCACGATGGTGCAAATCAGTAAGACAAAAAAAAAAAAAACTGATAAGAAAGTAGCCAAAGGATTTTGACACTCATAGAATAAATACAAATAGTTGGTAAACTTTTGAAAAGCTATCCAGCCTCTTTATTAATGAGACACATACAAACTATACAGAGGGTCACTGCAGCATTATGTATAATTAGAATTTTTTTAGACAACCTAGATGACCATAAATAGATACAGTTAAGGGGCTGTCTTAGTTACTTTTCTCATTACTGAGACAAAATATCAACACCAAAAGTTAAAGGAGGAGAGGTTTATTTGGCTCAGAGAGGTTTAGTGGGCTGGCTCCAAGGCGATGGGGCACGGCAGAGGGGCATCACAGAGGAGATACAGCTCATGGCAGGCAGAAGGCAGCAAGCTACAAGCAAGAACCAGCAACCCTCTTTCTGTCCCTTGTATCTTATCCAGCCCACACACCCTCAGGGCGGGGTTCCCTTGATCCTACCCAGATCGACGCCAAACCGATCGGCGGACTGACTTAGTAATCACACACCCTTGATCCTACCATCACACACTCTACATTAGCCACCTCTGAAAAGCCCCACCTATGACCACAGGAGACTCTGGTGGGACATTTAGACTCCACCTATAACAGGCTCAGAAGGCAAGTAAAGTAGTCTCTATTGTGATCCCATCTGGGCTTAGGAAGGAAAGCATCTCTTCACCTATACATGTGTACCTGTGGATATCCACACAGGCCAAGTCCGGCTCTGGGAGAAACTAAAATAACAGCAGGGGCCCCCTAGGAGTGGACAGAGACAACATATGCTACAACAGAGACTTTGATTTTTTTTCAAGTAAGGACAGTTTTTAAAAGAATGGACAAAGACTGTGATGTCGGATGATCTTAGGTTAAAATCTTCGCTCTGCTATTTACCTTCTGGGTGACTTTGGACAACTTCCCTGGCTCTCAGTGTCCCTGCCTGTAAATAGGAATGATAGTCCCTGCTGCCCAGGGAAGACGATGGTGAGGGCTGCCCTTAGTAGGTGCCCAGTAAGTGACAACAGTTAAATTGGCGTAGTCACGTGACACGTGATTTTTTTGGTACATTTTGTAAACAAGCAAAAGGAAAGCTTTAAAATTGCATGTGTGTCATATGAAAGAACAAAACCTTATTAAACCCATCTGTTCTGTTGAGAACCGAAAGCTAATAAGCCTGGTTTTCAATTATTTTATGAGACCCTAGGCCATATCTCATAGGGGTAGGGGAGGGAGCACACAGACCCAAACCGTAACTGTAGATTCTTGCTCTAATTAAGCACCAACCAGGAGTTCTGATTCTTGGCCCCAAAGGTCTTTTAGTTGCTGTGAACATAGAAGTGAGTAGGAAGGGGACTCCGGTCAGCACAACCAGCTGTGAGCATCGATAAATTCACACTTGTGCCACTAACTCTTTGAGGCCCCTTCCTCGTCTTGGCCTCCCAGGCCCCTGGGTTTAGTGGGGCTGCACCCTGTCCCCTCCCCTCCAGGAAAGGAAGCTGGGAGAGGGCACGGAGACTTGCCCAGGACCACAGGCAGGGCCAGGCTCAGCTCAGGACACAGTGATGACCCAGGGGCAGTTCTGGCTGGTCCTGGAAGGAAAGGTGACCAACCTAGGCGCCTGCACACAGGAGGTCATGAGATGAGCATCACAAAAGGAACAAATTTCAGCCTCCACACGAGGGCTGAAGGACTGACAGTACAGGGCAGAGGCCGGGGCACTCCCTGGAGAAGATGACACCCCAGCTCAATGGGACTGAGTTTCAGAGAGGCCAAGCAGCTTGCCCAAGGTCACACAGCTCTCAAGGAGAAGACAGGATTTGAGCCTGGCTTGTGTGATCCAGAGCCAGAAGGAGAAGGGTTTTCAATACCAGCAAAGGCCTCTTGGTTTGCTTGGCACAGTAGAGAGGATGTGAAACCTTTGAAACACACTCCTGCTCTGTCCCTAAATGTGTCTTCATGAGAGTAATTAACATATCGAGTGCCGCCTTGTTTATAACAGAAGTAACAGGAAGATGCTGTCTTTTTTGTTAATATCTGGATCAGAGACATTTACAGCCCATTCCGCATCCAGGATTCAGTGCCTGTCTTATGAGGTCACACAGTCCGACTCTGGCCACCTCCCTTCTCCCTGTAGCTGGGCTCTGCTGTGTCAAGCTAATCATCAGTCCTGGAAAGCGTTGTTCTCCGGAGAGTTGGGGAATTATCCAGAAGAGGAGGTGTCTAGGCAGTGGGGAGCTGGAGCCATGGTCGGCTGCTAGCAGAGAAGGGCCCAAGTCACACGGGTGTGCTGGGAAGGCAGCGGTGGCTGCAGCGGCGGCCAGGAGCCGGGAGAGGGAAGAAGGGGCGTGGCCTTTGTCCCTAGGGTGGGGCGGGGCCCTGTTCAATGTCAGGGCTGGAGCGGAAGAGCTGGGTCGGGGCAGTGGGGAGGAATGAGAGTCCACAGGGCTGACGCAGGCAAGGCGATGTCTCCAGTCATCCTAGCACTCTGGGAGGGAGGCTGAGGCAGGATCGCAAATTCGAGCCCAGTGTGAGCAACTTCGCAACACAGGGAGACAGGGAGACCCTATCTCAAAACGAAAAGTAAACAAGGGCTCGGTATGAAGACCCTGGGTTCAATCCACACTACCATAAAAAACAAAAAAGAAAAAGAAAAAACGGGATCTCAGGCAGCCTAAGGCAGCCTACTGCCTCCCAGCCACCCAACGCGCGCGCGCTCACACACACACACACACACACACACACACACACACACGGTGGGGGGGGGTTTCCTTTTCCACGCGTGCCCCCAAACAGTAGCTTTCTGTGCAAAGCAGACAGGGCTGGTCTCGGTAAAGGGGACACGGCCCGCTGTGCGGCGTCAGACCTTGGTTCTGCACGCGGGGGAGCCGAGCTCATGTGCGTATCTGCAGGGCTCGGCCCACGTGCACCGCTGATGTCCCCCCCCACCCTTGGGACAAGGGTCAGGAGGCCGAGAGGGGACGTCTCGGGAGCCCCTCGGACACTGCCCTCAGAGATGGGCGGCGGGGTCGAGGTTGTGGCCTCCTGACCTGCGGGGCGGGGCGGGAGAGGGGACTTGGCCTGCGGCACCCATGACAGTGGACGAGAGTCCCGGGCTGGGACCCGCACGGTGGCAGAGAGCCCTGGGGTCTTCCTGTGGACGGGGGCCGGGGTGGGAGGACTGGGGCAGTCACTCAGGGCAAAGGCCCTAGCTTCAGTCCCCGGTACCTCAGAATTTTTTAAAATTACCTTTTCAGTCAACAGATATGCGTGTATTGCACGCCAGACACTGTCCTTACCCGTGGGGACGCAGCAGGGACCAAGCCAGGCGGCCTCCGTGGAGCCAACACGGAGCCGCCAGGTGCCATGCCCAGCCTTGACCCTGCGCCTGCCCCTGCCCCTGCCCCAGCTGCCTCGAGTGTCGGCTTCCGGGACCTCGCAGTTCTGGTTTCCCGCAGAGACTGAAGTCCCCCCAGGCTCCCCAGAGGTTAGGCAGGACCCACTCTGCCCTTGCTGAGGCTGATGTCACTCTTGTCCCTACCCCCAGGGGAGACTGGCTGCTACGCTTCGTGTACCGCACGTCTTCCGTGCAGCTCCGCGTGGCCGGCCTGCAGCCTGTGCTCCTGCAGGACCGCAGGATGGAGAACGTGGACCTGTCCTCCGTGGTGAGTGTAGGCGCGGCCCTCCCCCGGCTCTATGTTTGCCTGGCATTGCAAGGCGCACCTGGTTACCCCTGCCCAGCCACCTCTGGCCCCGGGAGACAGCAGCCCCACCAGCCCACTCTGCCCTGGAAGGAGGGCGCTCAGGAGAATCTGCTCGGGAGGAGCAGCTCCGACCCTCCAGGAACCTTCCTCCTGCCACACCCTGTCCCCACTCCCTGCACCTCGGCTCTAAGCCTCACAATGCTCTGGTCCCCGTTTCACAGCTCAGGAATGAGAAAAGTTCCCGACTTACAACTAGCAATTCACAGGGCTGGATTTGAACCTGCAGCACCCACTTTCTGGCCCCCACATCACTGCCCTCCCCGGCTCCTCCTCTCCAGAAACAACCAGGGCAGGCAGGGACTCAGGTGGGGGCCCCGGCAGAGGCAGCTGACTGCCTCACTCACAGGATAAGATGTACAGCTGAGACCATCAACAGGGGAGTTGATTTAAAACGCAGATCCCCCTGGACATGGTGGCATTCTGGTAACCCCAGTGTCTGAGGTGAGGCAAGAGGATTCCAAGTTCAAGCTCATCCTGGGCAACTTAGGCCCTGTCTCAAAATAAAAATGGCTGGGTTTGTAGCTCAGTGTGTAGGGCCAGAGTTCAATACCCAGTACCACCAATAAGTAAATGGTGACACATGCCTGTAATCCCAGTACTCAGGAGGCTGAGGCAGGAGGATCACCATGAGTTCAAGGCTGGCCTGAGCTGCATAGTGAAACCCTGCCTCAAAAACAAAAATAAGGGCGGGGGATTTAGCTCAGGTGCCACTGCCTGCCTCAAAAGCATAAGGTCCTGAGTTTGATCTCACACACACACACACACACAGAGAGACAAAATTTTTTTTAAATGATACAGTATTTACAATCTCTAGATCACCTTTCAGGCAGGAAGGAACTGTGTCCACCTGCCATACACTGTAGTGGGAGCGGGGAATCACCTTCTGTGTGGACAGCTCTCTATCCTGCCTCAGCCTTCAGCCCTTTTTGTGCTCCAGTGATCCCATTGTACAGGGAGGGCGCTGAGGCTTAGGGACAGCCCAGGGACTTGCCTAGGTCACCCTGCTGGAACATGGCCGAGCAGGACCCAAACCCAGTTCTGAAGCCAATGGACCTTGCCCTGGAACAAGGAGATTTGAGAAGCAGAGAGACAAAGGTGCCTGGTATCGGAGGAAGGGGCCCTAGTGCAGCCGCTGCTTTGGGCCAAGCTCCACCGTGGAAATGGTGGTGCACGAGGGCAGGGACAGCCAGGACTTCCATGTGCACTTCTACATCCTTGGCTGCTGTTGCATCAGGTGCCAGGAGCTTCCTGGCAGAACCTGGTTTCTATATCACAATAGTTGGACACACAGACCCTTCCAGGGCACCCGACGGGTCCCGGACCCCCGATGGGGGTCTGACTTCTCCCTTCTGCATCAACAGTTGCTCCCATCCTCCCTCCCCTACCCACCACCTCGATGGCCCAAGGCGCTGGGCCCCACAGGCCTCGAGCACCCACCCCAGTTCTGTGACCCCAGCTGCCTGCCTGTTCTCGGAAACCTGACTGCACACTGCCAGTGACACAGAGGAAGCAGGACAAAACAGAGAACCGAAGACCTGACTGCCCGCCTGTTCTCAGAAACCTGACCGCACACTGCCAGTGACACAGAGGAAGTGGCACTGCTGCCCTCAAAGCCCACAGCCACGCCACGCCTGACCAGCAGGCCTCTTGCTCCGCCTGCCACCAGCCACCTGTGCGGATTCGCCTCACCTGCCTCCGCACACTCCCAGGACCTATCGAGCAAGGCCTCACCCACCTGAACAGCAGGGCTGGTGGCCCCAGTCTTCCAGCCATGGGAGCTCCAGGGTTGCCAGACCTTCCGCTCTGAGTCTGCTCGGCACAGACCAGAGCTGCTGGCCTGGGGTTGCTCTGTCCCTGGTGCACCTAACCCAGGAGACATAAACCCCACCTGCACCCCACACACCCCTGGCTCACCAAGGAGAATGCTGGAAACTTCAAGGATAGGTTCAAGGCCAGAGTCTGAACTCCAAGGTGCAAAGCCTATGCTGTCTGCCTCCCTGTGGGATGGAAGAAAGCTGGGTCACAAGGCTAGGAAGCCACGGACTCCCGACTGGCGCCTATCTGAAGGTCCCACCCCTTATGGGGCAACAGCAGTCAGCGGGAATGATGTGCTTCACCAGGAGTCTTCTCAGCCAATGGAATCATCAGAAGGAGTAGCTGGGGGCCAAGGATTTAGCTCAGTGGTGCCACACCTGCCTCAAAAGCACAAGCCTCTGAGTGGGATCCCTGGTGCCAAAAAAAGCAAACAAAAACAAAAGCAAAGAAAAAGGAGCAGCTGAAAGCTCTTCTTCATGCCACAAAGCCTCGCACAATGCAGTTTCAGGGATCTGGGGTGCAGCTCAGCAGCAGCAGGCTTGCCTAGCACATACAAGGCCCTGGGTTCCATCCCCAGAACTGGGGTGGGGGTCCCATTTCTGCCCCCAGAAGCTGTGGATGGGATTCCCCGGGAAGAGAGCACAGTCTCTGGCCTGGCTTAGACTCCCGGCTGTGTGACCTTACCAAGTTACTTAATTTCTCCGGCCTTCATTTCCTTGTTTATGGAAAGGTGAGCAAGATGCTTGCACAGAGTAGGTCCTCACTTAATCCAGCTCTCTCCTTCCCTACAGCTGCCACCTCTTCCTTCCTTTGCCTTTGGGACCAGCTTCTTCCAGACTCTTCTCTCACTGCCGCATGGCACCCTCCCAGCTCCTGCCTAATATTAGCTCTTTATCACATCAGGAGGCACGGAGGCAGTGCTTTCCTCCTCCGCGTAATTAGAGGTAATTAGCACGGCCTCTGGGTGGCCCTCCTGTTTTCCTTGGAGGAGTCGCAGCTGCCCCTCATTCCCACGGGTAGAGACTCACAGACCCAGTGGAGACCCACAGACCTGATGTGGTTTCTGGGAGCCCCAGCCCAGGGCAAGACCTTCATGTCCCAGAGGAGGAGCCACTTTGGCGTCTAGAACTCCGCAGAGGGCTGGGCATCAACCAGGTCCTCGATACTGACAACGGCGGCTGGCCCTGCTCCACGCTCTGCCAGGATCTGCTGTGTGATTCGTGATGTCATCCATGACAGCTCCATAACCCACGGTGCAGGTGTGGAAACTGCCTGTGACTTGTGAGCCTAAGGAACCGGATTCTGAGCCTGGGCCCCTAACCACGAGTTTGCGCTGCCTGTGTTCCTACAGCGAATCCCCCAACCAGGCCCCGCGGTGCAGTCCTTTTTTTCTTTTTTTTTTTCTTTTTTTTTTTTTTTTTATACTTGGGGATCGAACCCAGACCCTTCACACTGGGCCCTTTTTTTTTTTTTTAATTTTTGAGATGGTCTCACTAAGTTGTCCAGGCTGGGCTTGAACTTGCCATCCTCCTGCCTCAGCCTCCCAGAGTGCTGGGATTGCAGACGTGCCCCACCATGTCCACCTCCCTAGTCCCACTTTACAGAGGAGGGAACTGAACCCCAAGATGTGAAGGAAGCCAGGGGCCTGGTAGGTCCAGGAAACCTGGGTCCCGTGATGTGCAGGGCTGGCGAGGGAAACAGGCTCGTCACAAGTGGCCCTCCTTACTTAAGCTCCCAGCTTAGCAGCAAATCAGTTGCATAAGCTGCTGATGCTGAGGGTTCACTGAGGACTGGCCAGTTAGGGGGTCTCCAACCACATGGGGCATTGAGAAGACTTCTCTGAACTAGTACACTAGGTGGTAACGTCCAGCATGCATCCAAGCACTCAGGCTGAAAGCTTCATCCAGTGGCAACCACACCACAACTTTCCACAGCTCCGCTGTCTCTTCCAGCCCACGGCACACCGTGCTGTCATCTTCTGCTAACCGAACAGTCAGAGCTCAGACAGCCACTTCTCCCTCCTGAGTCTGTGCAGAATGGCAGCTCAGGGTCTCTCGCCGGGCAGAGGAGATCCAGAGTTGTGTGTCCAGGGACAGCTACGTGGTAGAATTCTATTTGGACTCAGCAGTACCAAGCAGCCACAAACAGCTCCCTTTCTTCCTGACCTATTACCACAGGGCCCTGGCATTGGCCTTTCACCAACATTAAAATGGTGTCGGGAGACTGTTGTAGTTACGTTTTCATTGTTGGGACAAGATACCTGACACCCACAAGTCAGAGGAGAGGCGTATTTTAGCTCACAGAAGTTTCAGTCCATATTTGGCTTGACAGAGGAGAAACAGTCCGTGGCATGGTAGGCAGGAAGAGGAGAGCAGCCCAGGGAGGACTATTGGAGCTGCCTGGGAAACTACTTTGAGCCCCGTCTGGGAAATTTAGCAATTTAACAAGACCCTGACTCAAAAATTTAAAAAAAAATTAAAGAGCTGAGGATATAGCTCAGTGTGAAGGATCTGAGTTCAATCTCCAGTACCACCCCCAAAAAATTTTTTTAAGAGGAAGGAAGGAAAGAAACCAGGAGAAGGGCACGTGTATTTATGGAGCACCTGCTACACACCAGGTAATTTGTGATGTGCATGTATTATTTCTCCTACCAACCCTTTGAGTCTGGACCTCTCTGTGAAAGTGCTCTGGGTCTGATGTGAGACAGTGCACATGCTGGTTTCTACCAAGAGCCAGGCCCTCGAATTCTGCAGCACACCTCCAAGTCGTGAGCCTCACTTTACAAACGGGGAAGCCACTATTCAGGACACTGTGAGGACCAGCCCAGTTCCCAGCAGGAGCCAGAGCCAGGGCTGGGACCCCCCCTCTCAGGGTCCACACACAGCCACTAGCTGTGCCTCATCCTGCAGAAGGGCCCCAGCCCCACCGTGACCTCCACCCTGAACCTCAGACCCACGCAGCTCCTAGATGTGTGCGCACCCACATGTGATCTCGTGGAGAACTGTGTCAGAGGGTCTCTGGGAAAGGAACAGGAGGGGCGGGCAGGTGCCAGTGCGGAGAAAATAACAAAGCTATGTGGAGAGCCGTCTTTCTGTGTTCCTGAAAAGTCACTTGATCACCCGGCATGATCTGCCACACCGGGGGGAGGGCGGGTGCTACCGGGAAGTCTTGGTGTGCCTTTCTGTGTCCCAGTGCCAGCCCCCGAAGTGTCCCTGTCCCCTTCACCCACTCCCACAGTCCTTGCTTGGCCTCTGGCGCCAGGGCGGGTCCCGGGATGGGATGTGGAGAGCCCAGGGCTCCAGTCTGGGGGCGTCCTGAGCTCAGCAGCCCCACACCTGCGCCTCTAGGACAGCGTGGGCTTTGCTCCTCACGGGAGGCGTGACACTGAGCACACCTGAGCCGCATCTCTGGGCTTCACCCCCCTCACCTAAAATGAGGTGGCTTCTGCCGTGCTCCCTCCCCAGCTGATTTCCTCTGCAGAGATGGGGTTTTAGAACCGGGCCCAGATCCGTGTCCCAGGAAGAGCTGTGTGCCCTCGAACAAGTCACCCACCCTCCCTGTGGCTCAATTTGTTCATCCGCACTTAGCAGCCAGCACCTATCAGAGGAGTATATCCATAAACTCCATTGCTAGGATGTCTTAAGGACCTACTGCATATAGGGCATTGTGTATTATTACAGTTGGGCACCAGCATTCCAGACTCACTCCTACTTCTTACTCAAGGACACATCCCAACACAGAAATAGGGATGTCCCAGTTTTGTGGGCACTTTTGAGTTCTCTGCCTTTGTCTCAGCAAATAACAGAGTCCTGCTACAACATCTTAAACACTATCTTGCTTCATACTCTGCCAACTCATGGCCCAAGATGGTTGCACCAGCTCTGGCCATCCCATTTGAATTCCAGCCAGCAAGAAAGAGGAAATGGGAAGGCAAGGAAAGCGCTTCTCTTAAAGAGAATTCTAAGGAGGATCACAGAATGCTGTCACTTCCTCTCTGTCTTAGTCATTTGTTCTGCTATAAGAAGAATACCTGAAGCTGGGCGTGGTGGCGCACGCCTGTTATCCCAGCACTCAGGAGGCTGAGGCAGGAGGATCGCTGTGAGTTCGAGACCAGCCTGTGCTACATAGTGAGTTCGAGGTCAATCTCAACTACATAATGAGACCCTGTCTCAGAAAAAAAAAAAGAAGAAGAAGAAGAATACTTGAGACTGGGTAATTTACAATGAACAGAAATGTATTTGGCTCATGATTCTAGAGGCTAGGAGGTCCGAAAGGGATGACTGTGGCATCTGATTTATCACATCATCCCACGATACAAGGTAAGAGGACAGGAGGGAACTGAACTCCCTCATTTTTTTATTAATTTTTTTTTTCATTGAACCCAGGCCTCTATACTGAGCCCTTTTTATCTTTCTTATTTTGAGAGAGGTTCTTACTTAGACACTGAGCTACCTGGGCAGGACTCAAACTTGCAATCCTCCTGCCTCAGCCCTCCAGAGTGCTGGGATTACGGATGTGTGCCACCACCTTCGTAACAAGCTCACTCTTGGGATGAGTAACCCACTCCCACGCAGTGACCTCGAACCCTGCGCGAGGACACAACCCTTGTGACCTAGTCTCCTCTTAAAGTCCCCCCTGTCAACACAGTGGCATCCGGGGTTGAGTTCCCAGTGCGGGAACTTTGAGAAATACCTTCCAACCATTGGTCAGAAACGAGAGAAGCATTTCCCGTCTCTGATAAATTCTACAGCAGCTCTGAATTCTGCTTGATTTGAGCAACACTGAGCGCGGGAGTCCTGGCATTGGTGACTCTATGGTGAGGGCCCACAGCTCGGTACCCACCCTGACCTTCGCTCCCTGTCCTCTTGCAGGTCAGCGGCCACCTGGACTACGCCAAGCAGATGGACGTCATCCTAAAGGCCATGGGCATCCGCACCAAGCCACACTGGGGAGAGAAGGGGCTCTTACTGGCCCCGGGCAGCCAGTCCCAAGAGGAGCCTCGCCAGGCCGCAGCCACCTCCTCAGCAGACCAGATCCCCCACCAGGATGGGCAAACCCAGGAGCCTGCACCTGGAGACACCCCCAAAGTGGCTGAGTCCCCTGACCCCAGCCACACCCAGGTGCCGGCAGAGCCAGAGGAGTCTGAAGGGGCCTCGCTTCCGGCTGGCGCAGGCCCGGCAGAGAACACCCATACCTGCAGCCACGGTGTGGGCCCCAACCCACTAGGCTGCCCCGAGTGTGCCCACGAGACCCAGGGGCCCTGCCCAGGGCTGGACTGACCCCAGCGGGGACCTGAGCTTTACATGCAGCTCTCTTCTACCACCCGGGCCCGGGTGAGCTCTGAAGGTGGGGATTTCTACAAGTGCCTTTGTGAGTGGAGAGAACGAGGGTGGAAGGGAATTAAAGGAAGCAGAATCGGGGGATAAAACGTCACCTCTCCAGGGAGGCGAGGGCAGAGACCCGCGAGGCCAACCCGAGGCTCTGGACTCCCCGCACTTCGAGCCCCGCTGAGGGGCCTGGCTGTCCCTCAGGGGCTCCGGGGGATTTGTGGGGCCAGAGTGAAGCCGGGAGTCCGCCTGCTCTTCCACCCACTCTCTGGTGCTGCCTGGGCCACCCGCAGAGCAGGCCCAGATGCCAAGGGAACAGCTTCCTCTCACTGCGTCTAGATCCGATCAGACCTGTCTGGTACAGCCACTCAGGCTGCGCACTGCACAATACAGGGGCAGAAGTCACAAAGATGTGACACGAACAGCGCCGTGAAGGTGTGCGGCATGGTGGGTCTGGATGTAGCCGTAACAGGACAGGAAGACTGTGTGGGATCAGCAAGCAGTGCGGTGGGGGCCTGGTGACAATGGGTTACACGGGGGAAGGATGTCCTGTAGCAGGAACACGTGTGATACCAATAATAAACAGTACCAGCAGCCACCATGTGTTGAGTGACTACCCCACACCCCGTGCCTGTATGACGTCAGTCTTCAGAATCACCATCGAGTAGCTGACGTCATCGTTTTACACTTGGGGAAACTGAGGCTCTGAGAGACTGGGTAGCCTGCCGAAGGTCAGCGAGCTAGTCGGTGGGGGAGCCAGACCCCAGCCAGCGGGACTCCAGAGCCCCAGCTCCCACCTTGTCCGTACCCACCAGTGCCTCCTTCCTGCAGTGCCCAGGCAGAGGACACGTGGCCAAGCTCCGGGAAAGTGGGAGGCGGGAGGAATCAGTCCTAGCATGCAGGAACAGGTTGGTGTCTCCAGCATATGCTTTTGTTCATTCTGCAACGTTTCCGCCGCCCTTCGCGTCTCACCCAAATCGCCCCTCTCACGTGGTGAGCTGAGCCCCAACTCGGGAGATGATTTTGCTGGGGTCTCAAAGCAAAGCAGGGGCAGAAACCAGCCCAGAACCCAGGACACCTGGGCCCTGGGTGCCACTGCCCCGGGGGCCTCCCCCCCACCGGGGCCCCTCCATGGAATCCAGTCCACACCGTGGTCACTTCCTTCATCTTGGGTTTATTGACAGGCCCCCTCGGCAGGCCTGGTGGCAACTGAGGAGCCCCAGCAAGCACCATGGCCCCTCTGCAGCCAGCAGCAGCCAGCAGCCAGCAGCCAGGACCGAGTTGAATCTGATCAGCACCAAGGAGAGCTCCAGGCCTCACGCAGAGGCCCCTGGGAGTTTGGGAGTGGGAGGGCGACAGAACTTGGAGGCTTTAACAAAACCCCAGTACAGCGGGTAAACTGCACCCGCTGCCCCAGAAGCGTCTACCCTCCTGCCTGTTGCCCCACCCACACCAGGGACAGTTCTCCAACTGCCCTGTGGGCCTAAGTGGCCACCATTCCAGTCTCTCTCAGAGGCCCCAGGGAAGGCTAGAAAGAGGCAGGACAAGGGACTGGGTTTATTCCATGAGCTGCTCCCTTCCAGGTCCAGGCAAGCCCAGGGTGGAGCAAAACCCATCCCTGAGGTTGAACAGGAAGTTGCCACCGGCCCCTCTGCCCAGGAGGGCCGGCAGGGGCCGGGAGCTGGGAGGGTCCCTGAGCAATGGGAGCCCCACCTGGCACCCAGAAAAGGAGTTGCAGAACCAGAGGCAGGTGGTGGAAATCTGGATTTGAGAGAGTGGCACTGTTACCCCCACTTTACTCCTGAGACACCCACGACTCAGAGAGGTTAAGGGACCTGTGAGGCCCCAGAGCGAGGAGGGTGAGCAGAGATCCAAAGCTGTGCCTGCCTGGCCCAGCCTCAGGGGTTTTGCTGACTGCCATTTACATCCTGGGGGCTGGCAGGTCTGAGACGTGTCCAGCGAGTCCTCCTTGGGGTTAATCACGTCAGCCAGCACGTCTCGGACCGTAGCTCCAGGGACCTTCTTAACATCCAATCCCAACCTGGCAGATCTGAGGCAGGCAAGGTGTGCTCTGCACAAATGCCCAGGAGGCGAGGAGGTCGCTGATGGTCAGAGGACCGCACGCATGAACCCCAATCCACAGAAAAAGTGTTCCCCACCACCACTCGCCTGAGAGAAGGAACAAAGGTCAGGATTGTTTTAACCTAATCTGAACCAAGAGGTCCCACAATCCGGCAGCATCCTGGACTCATTCTCAGCGGCGGAACCTCTGGAGCAACGTGAGGCGCTGGCTCAGTGCACAGCCCTCTCGGAAGTTCAGAAGGCTCCCAAGACACCTGCAGTTGCTTGGCCTTAGCCAGGAGTTCGCTGAGGGCCTCAGGGAGATGGTCCCTGCAGCTGCCGCTGGGAGGCCCCAAGCCTCGTCAGTTCGTGGGGGTACCAAGTGGGTGCAACCGCAGCTCGGGCTCCGCCGGGTGAATGTTGAAGAAGTTGACCACAGCGGCAGGCCTGGTGGGCGGAGGGGGTTCCCGGGTGGCCTCTCCAGGCAGCAGCAGCTGGGCCGTGAGCTGCAGGCCGGAGGAGCCACCCGAGTCTGAGTCTGAGGAGTCCGGAGGCAGTGGCAGCGGCAGCACCTGCTGCAAGCTCAAGCCAGGCCGTGCCCCGCTGTGAGAGGTCCGCATGGAGGGGGAGGCCAGGCTGGCCCGGCGCTCCTGGGGACAGTGCGGGCAGGGCAGAAACCTGCCCAGGGCCCGCTTGAAGTCACGCATGAAAAGTGGGTAGATGATGGGGTTCATGGTGCTGTTACAGTACCCCAGCCACGTGAGGACATCGAAGAGGCCTGGGGAGATGCAGTCACACACGGCCTGGGGGAACAGGAGGTGTCATGCCTGACCCAGGCGGGGACCCTGACCAGCCACCCAGCATGAATGGAACAAGCACCAGCATGGGCCCGTGGGAGATGGTGCACCCATCACCCGCCCCGCCTGGGCTGCGGTGAAGTTCAGGGTCTCTCCACCATGCCCGGGACTCGTCTGTGGCCTTACCTGGACGATGTTGGCCACAAAGAAGGGTAACCAGGTCACAAAGAACATGCCCAGCAGGAGGCCCAGGGTCAGGCTTGCCTTCACGGCCTTCCTGCTGTGGGTGGTGGCCAGACGCCTGCTGTCAGCAGACTCCACCCCTGGGTGTGGGGTCCTGGGCACCTGGAGAAAGGAAGACCGCCCGAGTCAGCTGAGAAAGAGCCCTAGCCTGACCCTGATCCTTTGCACAGACTTGCCCTCCATCTTGCTTTTAGATGGAGCTCTAGCCCCAGCAATGAACTGAGCCCCGATCCCTGACTGTGCCCCAGTAGGAGCCCCAGATGATGCCTTCACCCTGGGTCCAAAGTGAACCTTGACATGGCTCAGAACCATACCCTGACATCAACAATAAACTGAGGTCTCCAACTAAGCCATGAACACAGACCAAACTGAGCCCTGATCCTGGCCCAGAACTTCACAAAGAGCTCTGGGTAGCGCAGTGAACCAGAGCAGGACCGTCCCGGTCACAGATCAGATGGTTCAGAACAACCAAGCCAACGGAGTCAAGCTCAGCACAGACCAGCACACACTACAAGCCCCAGAACCTTCCAAAGCCTTTAGTATTTCAAGAATCAATTGCAATTGAACAGTACTTAAAAAGGAGAACTTGCTGCTTGCTTCCAGAGCCCACCAGTTTCTTTGTATATGGATTTTCTTCATATCTTTGGAATCATGCTTTTTGCCTGTGCAGTTGCCCTCATGTTCCACAAGTGTCTGGGTTTGTTTTGGTTTTGTTTCTGAGAATGTGTGCACAAAACAAATGATTGCAATAAAATTACTAGGGATGCTAGAGAGCTTGGCATTTTACAACTCAGGGACACGATGGGCTGACAGACATCTCTGCTCTCCACAGTGAACAGTAAGGTGCAGCCACCGAAAGCTGCACATGGGCGTGGGCATGAGTTTGACTCTGCCACCTGGCAGGCAGCAGCTCAACGGAGCACTGCTGGTGATGCAGCCCAGGAAGGTTTGTTTGTTTGTTTCCACTTTTTTTTTTTTTTTTTTTACTTCATAAGCCTTTTCGAGACCTAACCATCTTCAAGCCTCTCCCCAGAAAAGTGAAAAGCTCATGACATTTATACCCAGGCACAGCAGCTTTAAAAGGCCCACCATTCTAGAGGCTTCAAAGACCACCATGAGGTCTCTAGTTCCTAGCATGAAGCCCCTCGAGGCCCACGGAAATGGGACATGAAGTCCTCCTCCAGAGAAGGCTGTGGGACCCTCCCTTCTGTGTCATGATCAACTCGGCTTTTGTACAACAAGTGAGACCCACCTATCCTTACCACTGGATTAACTGTTGGTGCATAAAATCCATCCAGAGCTATGCAGAGGGTGCGTGTGCTACATGGGAACATACTTGGGCCTTGAAACCAGGGATTTTCCCAGCATTTCCTGGATTGCATGAGAGCCCAACTCCTGCTGCCAGCAGTTCTGACCTCTTCAAAGCAGCCCAAGATGGCAGGACCCAGGTTCTGACTCATCGTGCTGGGCTCTAGGGTTAGAGGATGCCCTCCTCCTCCGCACGCACACCAGACACACATCTGCTCCCAGAGAAGTGGGCTGGGTGTAGGGAGATGAGGTTAGGAGGAGGCAGGAAGGGAACCAGATTCCCAGGCAACCCTCTGCAGAAGGAAGCGGGCGGAGGAAGCAAAGCCGGGATGTGTTAATGCCAGGGAGCGTCAGAGCCAGCCCTGCTCCCGTGCTCTTAGCTCTCCAAGCGCTCCATCTCCCTCCCACCCCACGGGATGGTGCCTTGTCCGCGGTGCTGAAACCCTCCCCGCAGCCTGTCTGCCCACAGGACCAGGGATTCTCATTCTGGAATGAGGGTGTCGGAAATGGGGTTCCTCTACGTGTTTATCCAGATGAAACCTATTCACAAATATCAAGGGCAAGCTTTAAAAAGAGTAGCCTAAGAGAGGCTCTAGCTTTCTCCCTCCGTCTTGGTCGGGGGCAGCGTTGCGCAGAAGCAAAAGCTGGACTTGGGAGACAGGTGGTCTGGATTCAAACTACGCCTCTGCCCTTCGCTCGCTCTGTGATCTTGAGAATGCTTCTCCTTTTATTTTTTTTTTCCAGTACTGGGAACTGAACTCAGGATCTTGCGCTTGCCAGGCAGGCGTGGTGCCACTGAGCCACACCCCCAGCCCTCCAGAGAGAGCTTCTGTGTTCTCTTGTATAAAGAGGGAGGGGTGAGTCCTTGGCTCAGAGTCACTGTGAAGCTATATGGTGCTGGCTCGGCGATGTGGGAACAGGGCCGGGGTGGTCCTGAGCACCTTCGGGGGCCCTGTCTTGCAGCAGCTCCCTAAAGCAGAACAAGATATCAGGATCAATCCTCGGGACTCACTATGCAGCAGCTCAGGCGGTGGGGTTTGAGTAGTGGCCCCCAACCCCCAGGCCATGAACCAGTTACCAGTCAGCGGCTGTTAGGAGTGGGTGGGCTGCACGGCAAGAGGCGAGTTGTGGGCAAGCCAAGTGGGTGTGTGCTGATACCCACTCCAGATCAAATCACTGCCTGAGCTCCACCTCCTGCCAGATCGACAGAAGCGTGAGAGTCTCACCACAGCGCGAATCCTACCGTGAACTGTGCACGAGCGGGATCTAGGATGCATGTTCCTTATGAGAATCTAATGTAATAAGAATAAAAATAAAGTGCACAATAAATGTAATGCACTTCAATCATCCCCAAACCGCCACCCGCATAAGTGAAAGAGTGTCTTCCAGGAAACCGGTCCCTGGTACCAAAACGCTGGGGACTACTGGGTTGAACGATGTGCTCCTGCCCCCACCTGCTCCATGCAAATGTCAGCTCCCAAGTAGCAGGGAGAAAGGAGGCCCGCGCTTCCCCTCTTCTCGTTTTCCCCGATCCAGAGCAGACTCCGTGTGACATCTGCAGCCCCCACGGCTGCCACCAGAAAGAGGTTCCTGTGTCCCCAAAAGAATCCCAGTGGCCTGCCGTGCCTTCAACAGAGGAGACAACATGGGAGGGAGCAGCCACTGAGCCCTGGACCCAGAAAGGAGAACCGTCAGAGCTCTGCGCTCTGGGGTTGCCCGAAGGCAGCCTGGCCCAACGCAAGGCCTCACACAAAGCCTGAGTGACCCCAAGCCAGCACTGTCATCCCCACTTACTGAAGTCCCTAAGTCCGAGCGAGGCCCAGGCAAGCAGGAGTCACAGCAGGGAAGAGCTGCATCGGGACCCCAGGCTCCTCCCCTTCATGCGGCTCCCACAGTCCACGCTGGCACCCGCCACTGCCACCAAGGGCCCTCACGGAGCACAGCCACTGGCAGCCGCCGGCCCGCACCATGGGGCCCAGCTGGAGCCGACACCCGCTTCTAACTTCTGTCTCTCCTGTCAGCACTTCACAGCCCCACGCCACCATGCTCTGACGTCCACGTGTTTATGGCAGGCGGCACCGTTCGGCAGACAGCCTCCTCGAGGACAACCTGGCAGGCCCCTGCAAGCCAGCAACTCCACTCACAGACTGTACCAAGGCACTGGGTGACAGGAGCAAACTGGAAACAGCCTAGGTGTCCACTAAAAGACCCCGGCATACTCCCACTGCAGAACTGTACCTGAATGTTTTGTTTTTGGTTTTTTGGTTTTTTTGGTACTTGGGATTGAACTCGGGTCCTCGAACTTGCAAGGTAGGCCACCAAACCCCTGAGCTAAATCCCCGGCCCTTTTTTTGGTTTTTTGAGACAGGGTCTCACTATATAGTTGAGACTGACCTGGAACTCACTATGTAGCCCAGGCTGGTCTCGAACTCACAGCGATCCTCCTGCCTCAGCCTCCCGAGTGCTGGGATGACAGGCGTGCTGAATGTTTTTAAAGAGTGAGTCGACTGGCCAGGTGTGGAGGTGCTCACCTGTAATCCTGGCACTCAGGGAGGCTGAGGGCCCAGGGTTGCAAATTTGAGTCCAACCTGGGCAATTTAGCAAGACATTGTCTCAAAATAAAATAAAAGGGAGGCTGGGAGGACCGGAGATTTAGCTCAGTGGTTCTACCACCTGCCTCAAAAGGGAGGCTGGGAGATGTAGCTCAGTACAAAGGCCTTGGGTTCAAGCCCCAGTACCCTACACACACACACACACACACACACACACACACACACAATGCACTGATCAGATGGAAAGATTTCCAAGGCGCATTATTAAGTGACGTTGGCAAGTAGAAAAGCAATATTCAGTATGATTCTATTTGTTTAAAAAGTACACAAATCACCATTTCTTTAGATGCTGATGCAAATACGTAAACAGAAGAAGAAAAGGTCAGGAATAGGCTATGAATTCACAGGAGTACCTTTGGCAATGGAAGGAATTCAAAGAATCTTTTATTTTTATTGTTGATATTTTTTTAAGACAGGGTCTTGTCCAGGCTGGCCTTGAACTCACTATGCAGCCCAGGCTGGCCTCAAATTTGCAGCAAGCCTCCTGAGTGCTGGGATTACAGCTGTGCACCACCATGTCCAGCTTGAATTTTTTGTTGTTGTTGTTTTTTTGAGACAGGGTCTCACTATGTAGTTGAGACTGACCTGGAACTCACTATGTAGCCCAGGCTGGTCTCGAACTCGCAGCGATCCTCCTGCCTCAGCCTCCTGAGTGCTGGGATGACAGGCATGCGCCACCACGCCCGGCTCTTGAATTTTTACTTTAAAGTGTGCTTATGGAGCTGTGGATACAGCTCAGTGGTAAAGCATGTGCCTGGCATGTGCAAGATCCCAAGTTCAATCCCAGCCTTGTAGAAAACAAAGAGTACTTATGCATTCTCTTGTCATCATTCAAAATGTTCATAATCAGGCTGGGGATTTGGCTCAGTGGTGCCGCCAGCTGCCTCGCAAGCACAAGGGCCCGAGTTCGATCCCCGGAACCAAAAAATAAAATAAAATACAATGTCCACAATCATCTAGTAACAACATGGGGGTTACAAGACAGACTGGAGCCACACTGCCTGGCTTCAAATGTCGGCTCCACCGCCTGGTGCGCAGGGACAAGAAATGATGTGTTCAGGCTCATCCCACTGTGATGGGAAAAAGGCAGGACGTGGCCCGTGAACAGCTGGACATCAAGCTCTGGTTCTGACCCCAGGAGCACCAGACCCTCAGGCTCAGGGCAGCAGCCAAGCTCGCCTGCTCCACACAGCCTCTCCCAGCTCTGCCTTCGCCTCTCCCAGCAGATATTTCTGTGATCACGGAGGATGAGGAGGGGG